TTGCTGCCGGGGGAGATTTTGTGTGTGGGGGGGGGCTTTCCTGGAGGCCAGGCTGAATTGGCGGGGGACGTTTTGGCCCGCCCCCGGCGGGCTATGGTTATTGCTGCCGCCGGTGCTGTTGGACGTGGTGCTGCCGCTGCCGCTGGTGGCGGAGACGGGGTTGGTGGGCGGCGAGACGGGCGGGGGCGGGTGGTGCTCCTGAGGCAGGCTGGGGCGCAGGCAGCTCCCGTTCAGGTCCTTCGCCTTGGCCAGCGGGGCCGCGTTGCCCAGAGACTGGAGAGTGCAGGCGGGCCGCTGGTAATCGCTCTCCACGTGGGCCGCGGGCTGGAAGGGCTGCGGAGAAGGGCCCTCGTAACCGAAGCCGTTGGCCCCCGGGTAGGAGTAAGCCCCGAAGAGCGGGGAGGTGTCGTAGTAGCTGGTCTTCTGCATGGCTGGGGTTCCCCGAGGCGCTCGCTCGCTGCTACCAGGCTCCGGTTGGCCCTCTCATGGAAGGACATTGGCACCCCCCGGGTCACGTGACAAGGGGGCCTTCCCTTCCCCCGGTGTCTTTTGGAAGCTGACCTGAAAGGTTAGAAGGCACATACAATGATACGGCTCGGCCTCTGAATCCATCTTGGCGGCTGAAAAGCGCGTGACATGAATAGCTGGCCGGCTACGGAGGAGGGCGGGGAGCGGGGAGCAGATGCCGCCGCCAACAGCTTTTTGCCGGGTGCTCTGGGACGCACCTCGCCTCTCTCCATTGGGCCAAGATTTCTAGAGATATACATATACATCCACGCGCGCACACACACACACACACACAAAGAGGGAGCTGCGTACGGGCAAACCGTTCGCCAAATCAATTCCTCAGCAGCGTTTCCCTCCTGTGCTTTCTTTCCGACCTTGTTGTTATAGAGTTCAGTTCTTTTTGTTCGTCTGCTTGTTTGTTTTAACTACACCGTTACCTATACACAGTTCCCGTAGACAGAGAGCACTTGCTGCCGCAGGGTCCCGTTTAGACCGTTCAACCCAGTTCTCCAAAACCTACTACCTCCCCACATACCAGTCTTTTCACACACGCGCGCACACTTGCTCCAGTACAAGGACGAGGCATTTTATTTCCACGCCCCAAAGAAGTGAATGGATCTCAACCTGGTTACCGCCTATTTAAGGGACTGAATGAAGACGAAGGAAACGGACGGGAGGGGGCTTGGAAGTTAAAATTCCGGAAATCTGTGGAACTGACTTCCAGATAAACTATGTCTGAGATGGAAGATCACTTGGAAAATCTATTCGGACTGACTTTTGGTAGTATTTGCATATTTTTAACAACCACAGCCAGGCACCCCCATGGAACTGCCAAATGTATCTCACCTGAATTCCTGTTGCAAAATTAAAGTATAATATTTTCCCAATTCATGATTGAGGAGCTTTGGAAAAACAAACCTAAGTATACATTGGATTAAATTATATTTAATCGTACCTTTAAATGCTTCTGAGATTCAGAAGTCAAATTTAAATGAACATTTAACATTTTGAAAATGTTTGTTAATGCTTCTGAAATATTTCCAGATTTGATTGATTTATTTAATCCGCTGCTTTCAAAAGAGGAATGAGCTCAAGTTCTTTGATGTTGGTTCTTTTGATGCTGTTTTTGCATCTCTGCTTGCAGTCTGAAATTGGCTGTGGAAACCCCTCTTCCCTGGAGTCGTTAAAATCCTGCCTTGTTACCGCTCAAGGTGTGAGCCTGGCCTCTCTCTTTCCTAAAGCCCAGCTACAGCTCACTTCTTCTCGTCTGCTCTTTGAACAAAACAAATCCCGTTTTTCTCACAAAACCATTTGGTCCCTTGCTTTTGTTTCCCTTTAACTTTTATGTTGGGATTTTATTTTATTTTATTTAAGATATCCTTCCAAAAGAAAGAGGACTCCTTTCACTCCTAGGGAAAATTAATTTTATAAATATAATAAACGCTATAATATATTTAATGGACCAAAACATGGATCCGTGGAAAGGAGTTCTCTTTATCGCTCTTCAACCCTTCTGTGTTTCATTACATTCCATGGGGCTACATTCTATTTTCCTTCCTTTCAGGCATAAAAAATAGTATCGAAAGCCACCGTTCAGTTCTGCCCATTGTCAAGGGATGGGCAAATATACCAACCTTCCCTACATTGATTCAATTCAAAATCTACGTATCCTTCATATCTCACCTCTTCCCTACCTCTTCCTCTTCACATTTGTGATTCTCTACCCTGGCCTTGGAATCGTAGCCATGGCTTTCCAGAGGTAGGCGGCTAAAATCTTCCATGGCCGGGTGTTCCTGGAAAGAATTAGGGCAGCTGCCCTGCCTTAACTCAGCATCCAGGAAATATTTCTTAGCCGACATCACAGTCTAGTGCTCTCCTCCAAAGGTTTGAAGAAAAAAGAAAAGGATTTTCCTATGGAAAGTGGGAGGCTAAGTGCCCTGACTCAGCCATTATTATCTCCTCTCTAGGCCCGCTTGGTTTGTTTTGGACTTTCTGAGAGCGCTGGAGAGCCTAGGAGAAACAAACAGCAAAAGGTTTTGCTTGTTGGCTTTTGTTGGCTTAAATTAAGCTATGTCTTTAAAATATTAATCTCCTTTCTACCCAAAAAGGAATCCAAAGTAGTCTGTGCACTCAGTAGCTAACATTTGGGTCCCTTTTTGTACCTCATCTTTCAACACTTTCCAAATGTCGGTCATTTGTCTTAGTCGAAGACGGGTGGAATCGTAAATGATTTACTCCAAGGAATTGTTGTGGTAGTTAAACACATGCACACATATACACAGAGAGAAATATCCATTGGAATAATGAATAAGAAATCAGATCGTGCATTTGCAATTAGTCGTTGAAATGTCAACCACAGCCCTGAAGTTGTTTTTTGCCTGCTTGGAAGTTTCATTTTTATTCCCAAGGATACTTCAGAATAAATGCCTCTTTTCTTGGGGACTTTTGTAAAATAGATTTTTTAAAAATCCCAAACTGAAGAGTCCAAAAGCACCTAAAAGGCTTGTGATGAAACTGAAGGTAGGCTATAAGGCCGAGGTGGGAAATGGAAACATAACCTTTTTCCCTTTAACCTCCATGATGGGGTGGGAAAAAAATTATAATTATATTGCTGGGCTAGAATAAAATTAAGCAGCCTTTTTGTTGAAA